AGGAGCTAAAGTATTATCAAAGTTAGAGACTCAAGTAAAGTCTCAAAAATCCAAAAAGAGAAAAGAGACTAGATACAAGCCAAAAGTTAAGTTAGAAGTTTTAAGGAGACGGTTTTATGAGATTAAGTCCAAGTAGGGACTAAATCGTAAATTCAGAAAGTTACGGCAATAAGGGCAAAAATGAAAAGTAGACAAAAAATTTCAGGGAAATCCCAGAAAATAGGAAATAATATTCTAAGACTCTTTTGTAAAGAGAAATGATGAAAATACCCCTGAAGCAACTTAAATGGAATTTATAAGGTTATGGCCGGTAAAAAGTACACCGTTTGAAGTAATTATTTAAAATAGCAAGAGACCTTAAAAATATACGCAAAAATGAGGTTAAATAGTTAAGAGGTTGTACTAATTTATAAAATTAGTCCCACAACCAAAAGGTCAGTGGAATGGCTTTAACAAAATATAAATCCTATTATGTTTATAAAAAGGCATTTTAGTAAATGATTTTTAAGCAAGGCTTAAATGAAGTGTTATGACTTGAGAAAATTCATACATATTCTCTAGAATAAAAAGAAATTTATGGAGCAGACAGAAGAATTTTCTGAGCTACAGAAGGCGATTAAGAAAGTTGGACAAATGTAAGTCAAGTAAAGTGGAAGGAAACTCGAAGATTAAATTTAATCCAATGGCTAAGATTCATTCTCCCTTCCTTTCCACTAGATTTTTGACACCTAGACCTTCTAGAAGGATGATGCAATGATGATGTAAAAATCCACTTGAAGTTTCAAGTTTGCCCTTATCTTTTCTATTAGTTTCCAAGGGCATTTTGGTCGATTTAAGGCTAATTTTTGGCTGTAAATAGAACCCCTCCCCCTCTCATTTTTGACCAAGGAGGGAGCCTTAGGGGAAACTCTTGCCATTTTGATTCTTGAAGCATAATCAAGCGCAAGACACCTATTTTGATCAACCAAGTTTGGATCTAAAGTTAGTAGGTTGTTCTACTTTGCATGATGCTTTGTTTTCTTGGTCTTTATGGTTGAAAAATCTGGTTTTCCTTATCATGTGATGCTGGCTAAAATATGTTAGGGATAAGTGAGATGATTTTGATGTTAAACTTAGTTAAAACACATTGATTCAATGTTGTTTCAAGCGGTTTTGTATTGATATTTGAAAGATTTCATGATATGATTATTGTGGGCGCTGTTCGGCCAAGCTAAGATTTGTATTCTATGATGTGTTTTTCATAGTTTTGATACTTGCATTGTGTTTAAAATGAAAAATGGTGCATGGTAAACCTAAAGAATAAGCATTGGAAGCATTGGAATTAAAGTTGAAATTTTCAGATTTCAAAAGCCCCCTATTCTGCCAACATTGATTTTTGGAGGAGCTGGATTTTCATTAATCTAAGCTCATATTTGCATTCCCTAGGCAAAATTGTGTAGGATTGGCCTAAGGGAACAATTTTTACAAAGCTAGAATATTAATCCAAAAATTAGGAGAAAGAGGTTAAGCTCAAGAGGGCTAGTCTTGAACATTATGTAATCTCTTAGTCTTAATAGATTGTATAAAATGTTTATGACCTTGGAACATCCAAGAGGAGGTTTGATGATGTTGACCGAAAGTCCACATGGTTGGGAAGTCAAGGGAGTCGAAGGAAAAGCAAGAGAAAAGCTTATAGTGCACGGTAGTGAACTTACCTATTATCGTTGCTTGATGTTATATGCTTGTGTGTTGCTATGTACATCATGTTTGAATGTTGTTGTGACATGTATTGGCTGCTGTATTGCTATTTATGATGAGTAGATTATGCCTCCATAGCCATGCATCAAGAAGATAGCTTTAAGCATGCTAATATGTTACTAACAAGAGGACAAGCAAGTTGCATGTAGTACATTAGCATCCATCTAGTATGATTATGTGCTATTGTTTGCTACTGAGATTTTTCTGAATCTCACCCCTCCCTAACCAACTATTTAGGTCAATCAATGATGGGCTAAAATGGCATGAGAACCAAGGAGAAGAAAGGGAAGAATTGTTTATGTTAATGAATGAGGTTAATGTTCCATGTATAATTCTCTTATTTTGTAAATTATGTTATGGATGCCAATGATGTCATGTAATTTAATTATAATGTTCATGGCATGAATGAAAATGTATGAGAATAAATAGGAAAGAGTAAGCTCAAGTTATGCATGCCAAAGCAATAAAAAGAATTAAAGTAAGAAGTGGTTAAGGGATAAAACATAGGTCCTATAGCAGTCAGTTTCGAGCTCCAATTTGACCTACCAAATGAATGAATTAAGCCATGAATATTTGTCAGGCTTATGGTACACATCCCAAGTTTTAAAATGAGAGGTAGATCACCTCAATTGGATGTGTACACAAGGAGATACGAATTTTCAAAGTTGAAGCATAGAATCTGGAAGTTTCAGAATTGGCCAAATGAATAGTAAAATTTAATGAATAAACTGTATGAATTAGCCAAAAATAAGTCCATTTTGATAATTTTTTCCTTAAAGAGCATTCAAAGAGCTTTTTGTGGAATTTTGAAACACCTCCATATGATTTTTCTAGATTTAGTTATGATTTTTCAAAGTTGGACCTGTAATCTGAAAGTGCATAGTGAACAGTATATTTTTTGTAAATTAGCATCCAGTTACGTTTTTATGAGGTTAAGGCCATCCAAAATAGTCAAAAATTGTTCTAAATGGACTCTTAAAGTATAATAGAAGTAAGGTGTGACACTTAACACTTTAAAATGATAGGGGGGAAAAAAAGTAAACCCAAATTAATTTTGGAAATTAAAAAAACATGGTTAATATAATCTTTAGTCTTTCAAATTTGTCCTTATTTTGGTTATGATTCCCCAAATTTCAAATCATTGGTTTTGGTCCCTCTAGGGGCGAAATGGTCTATGTTTTTATTGCATTATATGAACTAATGTTTTAAATAAAAAGAAATTTGAGAGACCAAAACCAGTGATTTAAAATTTGATGGACTAAAACCAAAATGAGAATAAACTTGAGAGACTAAAATTTATATTAACCCTAAAAAAATGACAAAAATGCTCTTTTTTTTTTTTTAAAAAAAAAAGGGATTTTACACCCCCAACCAAAGCCCTTGCTGGCGAGAGAGTTTTCCTTGACCAAAGGGGGGAAATTTTTTTAAGGAAAATGAAGAAGGCAAGATTTGATCCTACCACCTAATAGTCATTTGGGCCAAGAAAAACAAGAAGATCTTTGGGTCATCAATGACTTCTCAATAGTATAATACAAAAACAACAAAAATAAAGGTGCAAACATACCCCTGATATTATTTTTTAAGTGCACTCAGTATCTCTCGATCTTTTTAGTGGTGTAATTTTACCCATATTTTCTTTTGAAGTGCAATTTATCCCTCAGGGATAAAATTTTATTCCTAACATGTTACGTATCAAGGGGCAAAAAACATGTTAATCCCAACTCAATACTTATTACACAATTAGGGTTTGTTATCCTAGATGAAATAGTCATTTTTAAATGTTATTTCACAATAAAGACTTGTTATTTTTAAATACATTATTATCATGATATAGAGCCAAAATAAATGAGTTTTTGCATTATATTATTAAGAAGTCATTGTTGCCTCAATTGTCATCTTACCTTTGTTGGCTCAAATGACTATTAGATGGTAGAATCAATCCCACCTCCTATACTTTCGTATAGTAATTTCTGCACTTTAGGGGGGAAAAAAAAAATCTCTCCTACCAATCGCCAGTATGCCGGTGGTTGGCCGCCAATGAGGGCTTTGGTGAGGGGTTCAAAACTCTTTTTAAGAAAAAAACAAAAAGCATTTTCATCATTTCTCTTGAATTTTAAAATTTTAATTTAGCTTTATTTTTTTCCTGTCATTTTGAAGTGTTAAATATCTGAATTGATATGAAAATTTTCCCAATTTACTAAAGTATAGACCACTCGTTAAATTCAGAATAAAAACTTATAAAATTATAAGGCTTAAAACTAATGATTTGAAACTATATGGCCAAAACTAAAATTGAATCAAAATATAAGAACTACTAGCAGTATTAACCAAATTCAAAGTATCAAATTCGATTTTGATAACTTAGTTTTAGTACTAGACACGTGTCCCTAAGCACTTTAGGGCATTTTCAACAACTATAGATATCAACATTTCAAGGATAAACTCAGTAATTATGCGTAAAAGCTGTGCACATTATGGATGTAGTGAGATGAGTCAACTGTAGAGACTAAAAACAGTTTTGAAAAAAAAAAAAATCTGTGTGAATAATTGTTTTATAAAATTACATTTGCAAATAAACATATTGAGTCTAAAGTTTTGACACAGAAAAAACTATCAGCAGAGAAGGAGGAGTTTTTCAATTTTTCCAAACAAAAAAAAAATGCAGAAAGATTTTACAAACAATTAAAAACACTTAAATAAAAATAACATACCAAACAATTTTTTTTTTTTTGGTTTTTAAAAACTAAAAAACTGTTTTCAAAACAAAAAAGGCCTAAAATTGGCAATTTATTTATATAATGGGCGTACATGGCTTCAATACTCGCTCAATTTTTACTCTAAACACATGCGAATGTCTGACCTACGTGATCACATCATAAGCCAAAATTGGGAGGGAAGAAAACAAACGATGAAAGTTCAATTTGACATTGGTCGTACACCTAACAGGTGTGCGTCTAGTGATGCCCAAATGAAGAAAATATTCCAGATTATAAAATGAATGACCCTAAGCATAAAAACCGAATTATGATACATGGGGCAGCTTATTAAGGGTTTTAATTATATGGATACAGATTTTAGATTGTGATTGTATTAATTTACGCCTCATTGACTGAGATTGCTTTTTTCCCCCTTTTGTTCACTTTCTAAACGAACTCCCACAATTTTGGACACTTTTACGAACTTGCTATTTTGATCCAGTGGATCCTCAATTATTTGTTGCCTGTGCACAAGGGCATATATGGCACACTAAGCAGTGCGTATTGTAATCTCAAATAAAAGAACGCATTCAAGTACAATTAATTTGCCGGAGACTGTATCTATAATATATGTGCATGTATATGCTGCATAATGATAATCTGACCAAAGCCATAAAGATAAGCAGGGGAATACAAACACATCCGGTACAACATTAATAAATATTGAAGCCGTTTATTCAGCGAGTATACATTCACAGATTACACGCTTAGGCAAGTCACTAATCCTCTGAAAGTACCAGGCCGATTTTATTCTGTGTCCTGCGCCAAAGAACACAACCAAAGAGTATTAGTTGATACAGACTTGTGTCTTTTTAATGATGCATAGATGCCAACCAGCTAGTCAGCCTGCAAAATTTTTGGCTGTAAAGTGAACTACTTAAGCATGAATAGTGCACTGTTTTATGCTATTAATATGATTTTTAGTTCATTCGTTTGTTAGATGACTCGACAATAATTCATCTTCAGCAATTTTCAACTCATGGACATCTTGCATTTCAAAGAGAAAAACCCTTTTTTGCATTTGACTACCTTCTTCGGACACTTGCGAACAAAACTGAGAACCACACAAGAAAACATTAGACTTGTTTTTTCACTCAGATTGTTCATTGGCAACCTGTACCTAAGAGCCATTATAAGCGTCTGAATTTCATCATGCCGACAAGACAGTTGAACATGTGCCCAAATTGGGGCAAAAAAAAACACACACACACACAAAAAACAAACAAACAAAAGACAATTGAGAAACCAAATATGCTGCAGTGACAAGTAACATTGTCGAAACAAACAGAAGAATCAAGCACTTCCATCTGATGAATATTTTGATTTCTATTACACTTGTGCACAATTAGTTGAATACCTTAGCTGTTCTATGTTCTTTTGGTGCTATAAAATACTTCCTCCAATCCTTTCTATAAAACATTAGGCCAAAAAAAAAAAAAAATCCTTTTTACAAAACCACGTTAACTACTTTCCTAAAATTAAAAAAATTAGTTAAAGTTAATTCAATGTTTAACAACTTTTCAAAATTACTTTTGATAGGTGTAGCTCATTGGGGAGACAAGATCAAAGAAGCCAATATAAAGAGGCAAGCATATTAGAATCTAAAAATTGAGGAAAAAAGACGGAATGGCAAGCTCCTCTTCGAGAGTGCTGGTGTTAATGGACTTTCCTTTGCTCTGAGGGCGGCAAGCCGCCCATGAATCTGATTTGTTACAAAGAACGAAGAAGAAGATGAGAAGTGTGGCAAAGAATGGTGAAGTGGAGGAGGGAAGTAAAGTGATGGTGTCGTTTGCCAACATGGTGTAAGGCGTTGATGTAGAGATGGGAAATGATGAGTGGGATAAGGAAGAAAACATGCGAGAAGGTCTAGGCATCACTGTGATTCACCATACTAAGGGATCACTGCTGATTCTGGAGATTAAGATCTCAGAAGAGGGGAAGAGGAAACAGTGGAAACTTGTCGAGAAGAGTTTGATAGTTAAGCTGCTTAGTTGGAAATTGAGCTTGCATTCAATGGAGCCAAAACTAGAGGTACTATGGGCTAAGCATGGGTTGATCTCTATGGTTGATCTTAAGAACGATTTTTTTATGGTCAAATTCACTAGCTAGGAAGACTATCATAGGGCAAGAAGGGAGGGACCTTGGTTGATCGCTGACCATTATTTGACTGTGAGGGAATGGAAAGTGAACTTCAATCCAATGACCGAAGTGTTGGAGGATGTTTTGGTTTGGGTCTATTTGTCGGATTTGCCACTCAAGTGTTATGAGGAAGAGGTGTTGCAGATTATTGGGGATCAGATTGGTAAGACGGTAAAGGTGGACACCACCACATCTTTCGAATCTAGAGGCAAGTTTGCAAGGTTAAGAGTTCAGGTGGATTTGATGACGCCTCTTCTGCCACATTTTATTATGGAAGGAAATGAGTTTAAGGTTGAATATGAAGGGCTGTATCTGTTATGCTTTCATTGTGGTAGGTATGGGCATATGGAAAGAGATTGTAAGGAAAAAAGTAGAGGACATGAAGAAAAAGAGTGGGAAGGCAAAGGGAAATATGGAGGAAATAAGAGGAGCGACTTCATGGGTCCTAGTCAGAAACAAAGGGGAGGTAGAAGGTTTGGGAGTGGAAATAAGGCTATAGAAGGTGAAATGGAGCTAGAAGACCAGCTGGCTCTTGTTTCAACGGGTTAGAAGTTGAAGAAGTGTTTGGGGGGTAACAAAGAACAAATTGTTCGTGCATTGGTTCCAGTTTATGAAAACAGGAAAAAGAATAAAGTGGTGGATGATTGGTCTTGGGAGGAAATTGCAGAGGAATGGAAGGGTCAAACTAGAAATATCGAGGAAAAAATGAGATAATTGAAGGCCCTAAGAGGAGGAATCCAGTGCTGATGGATGGAAGAGCGGGTAAGGTAGAGAACATGGTACACGATGTGGTGAACTATAGGGAATGCCTAAAGGAAATTGATGTGAATGTGCTGCATGGTACACGATGTGGTGAACTATAGGGAATGCCTAAAGGAAATTGATGTGAATGTGCTGCATGATAAGGAACTGACGACAACAAAGAAAGATAGAATTAGTGGTATGTTTGGAGGGAGGCACTGAGGGAATGGAGAGCGGATTGATGAGGATTGACTGAGCTAGTGTCTCCTTTTCAGGTTGTTATGATGTCAAAAATTATTTTATGTTAGAATTGCTGTGGGGTTGGTAGTAAGGAGGTGGAGAGGGATGTGAGGATGATGATTTGGTTGAGGAGACCGGAGATTGTGGTTCTCATGGAAGCTAGAGTTCTAGCAAATAGAGCAGATGTGTTTTTCAAGAAGCTTGGTTACAAGGATGTGGAGGTAATTGAGGTTGTTGGCTTTGCTGGAGGTGTATGGGTAGCCTGAAACCCAGGGGGGATTCAAATGGAGTGTTCAGAAAAAAGAAGCCAGTACAGCCATTTTAAAGTCAATTTTGATCAAGAGGAGCATTGGGTGATCACTTTTGCTTATGTGGCACCTCGTGAGGGGGAGAAGAGAGAATTTTGGGAGATGTGTAACTTTGTTGGCCTGAACAATCAACCTTGGATGATTATTGGAGATCTTAATGATATTAGAAGCAAAAGTGAAAAGAAAGGGACTCCTATCAATTTAGGCTGTTGTGGCCTTTTTGAAGAATCAATAATTGTGGATTGATGAATGTTGGTTCTTATGGCAATGCTTGTACTTGGAGGGGACCACTCATACCTAGCTATCAGAGAGTGTATGGAAGGTTAGATAGAGAACTCTGTAACGAACTTTGGTGATTGAAGTTCCCAAAAGCAATCATTCGTGTTTTAGCACGACAAAGAGAGTGAAGGTGATAACAAAGAGAACCTAAAAGATGAAGAAATGGGTCTTATTGTCAGAAGGTTTAAGACATTCTACAGAAACAAAGCCAAAAGGAGGTTTCAATCACAACTCCACATCTCAGAATGAGCCAAAGAAACCAATCATCTTCTTCAAATGCAAAAAGCCGAGGCACATCAAAGTAGAGTATCCTCAGCTGTCCAAGATAAAGTACAAAAAAAAGAAGAAAGAAAACTTCAGAAAGAAAAAAGCATTTGTCACGTCAATCTGGGGAGATAGTTCCTCAAAGGAAGAAGAAATCGCCAACATCTGTCTCGTGGCTCAAGAAGATGAAGATTCAGAGATAGATGAGGTAATCACTTCTAAACCCTCCTATAATGAATTACAATCTGAATACAATGCATTACATTTAGAATTAGTAAGAATTACAAAGGAGTTGGTAAGCTCCAAGAAAAACATAAAGCTTCTGGAGGAACAGCAAGCGAAGCAAAAAGATAACACAGTTCCACCTCCAATATGTACGAAATGTGAACAGAGCAGAAGAAAGGCTGAAGATCTCACAAGAACCTTGGAAAAATTCACTAAGGGCAGTGAAATGCTCAAAGTGATTCTGAGACCTCAACGATGTTCAATGGATAAAACCAGAATAGGATATGATCCTATTCAAGACGAAAGGAAAGGAGAAAAGTAGGGGTCGGTCGTATCTTATCTTCTTTAGAAATACTGTTCATTCTTCTAACCTTTTTGCATTATGTTCTTATTGCAACCGTAAAGGTCATGCAACCTATTCTTGTTATCACAAGAAGAAATGAATTTACAGGACTTTAAAATGGGTGCCCAAAGGTACTTATATGCCTAGGACAATCCATACTAATCAAAAAAGACCCAAGAAGATATAGGGACCTAAAACATGATTGTCTTGTTGCAGGTATGTCTCAAAGCATGCAGAACGAACAAGTAGTACATCGACAGTGGGTGCTCCAGACATATGACGGGTGACACCGAGAAATTCACATCACTCAAACCAAGAGAAGGAGGCAAAATAAGCTTTGGTGGCAATCAATCTGGAAGAATTGCTGGAATCCGAGAAATAAGAAGTGACAAAGGGATGAAGGTTGAAGATTTGTCACAATCTGCTCAGTGTCAGTCAGAGTACCGACAAAAACAACTAGGTGATCTTCGATTCAGAGGAATGCTTAGTAATAAGCAAAGATGACTTGCCACTGAAGAAGGAAGAATTGAATGTAAAGCTAAGATGACTTGCCACTGAAAAAGGAAGAATTGAATGTAAAGCTAAGATCATTTGCCACTGAAGAAGAAAGAATTGAATGTAAAGCTAAAAGCTCCAAGGGATGATAATTGTTATACTCTTCAAATTAATTCAAAACTTTCTGTAAACTATTTTATTAGCAAAAAGAAGGAAAGTTGGGTTTGGCATAGACGTCTTGCACATGTTAACATGAATCATCTTTCAAAATTAACAAAGAGGGAATTGGTTACTGGTTTACCGAAAATTCAGTACAAACATAATATTATTTGCGATACTCGTCAGAAGGGTAAACAAATAAAATCCTCCTTTAAATCAAAGAAGACAGTCTCAATCGAAAGGCCACTCCAAATGCTTCATATGGATTTGGTTAGTTCGTTAAGAGTCAAAAGTTTCGGTGGAAATCTGTATACTCTTGTGATAGTTGATGACTATTCGAGATTCACCTGGACTCTGTTTCTTTCCTCTAAAGATGAGATATTTAATGCATTCAATGTTTTTGCCAAAAAGGTCCAACATGATAAAAGTATCTGTATTGTGTCAATCAGATCTGATCATGGAGGAGAATTCGAGAACAGCGAATTCGCGGACTACTGTCACGAGCATGGGATTGATTACAACTTCTCAGCACTAAGAACTCCTCAACAAAATGAAGTTGTTGAACGAAAGAACAAAGTGCTCACGGAAATGACAAGAGCAGTGCTAAATGAGAAAGGGATTTCACAAGTGTTTTGGGCCGAAACAATAAGCATGGCTTGCTACATCTCCAATAGAGCTTACATTAGAACACTGTTAGGAAAAACTTCATATGAGCTATACAAAGAAAGAAAGCCTAACCTGGCTCATCTTGAAGATCTTCAGGAGTAAGTGTTATATCCACAACAATAACAGAGAATCTCAGTAAATTCGATCTTAAAGATGATGAAGGTTTATTTCTCCATTATTCTAATCGCAATAAAGCTTATAGATTTTTCAACAAAAGCACTTTCACAATTGAAGAGTTAATACATGTTGTGTTTGCTGAAACTGAGCTGATTTCAAAACCTCTAGATGATGATGCTAAGATCGTTCAAGATTTTCAAAAATTGAATTTAAACAAATCTTCAAATAAAGTACCTTCAGAAGAATTTTTAGAAAACAAAAATGATTCAAATGTACCGCTTTCACAAGAAAATTTAGAATAGCCTCAGGCTTGGAGGCATAATAGAAACCATCCTCTGGAACAAGTCACTAGTGAAGTCAATAAAGGAACCCGGAGACAAGTGTTCACTGAAGTGCGCTTCTCTGCATTCATCTCACATATTGAACCAACCAATGTTGACGAAACTCTATCCGATGAATTTTAGATAGTTGCAATGCAGGAAGAACTGAACCAATTTGGGAGGAATCAAGTTTGGGAATTGGTACCCAGACCTAATGATAATCCGGTCATAGGCACCAAATAGGTATTTAAAAATAAGCTCGATGAATCTGCGCCAATCGTCAGGAACAAAGCTAGATTAGTAGCTAAAGGGCATAATCAGGAAAAAGGTATTGATTATGAGGAAACATATGCTCCAGTAGCTAGATTAGAAGCTATACAAGTACTCTTAGTCTTTGCTTGCATAAAAGATTTCAAATTATATCAAGAGGATGTTAAAAATGCATTTTTGAACAGTTATATTTTAGAAAAAGTTTTTATTGAACAACCTCCTAGTTTCGAAGACTCAAACTTCCCTGATCATGTTTAAAAACTAAAATAGGCTTTATATGGTTTAAAACAAGCTCCTAGAGCTTGGTACGAACGCTTTAACAATTTCCTGATAGAAAAAGATTTTGAAAGAGACAAAGTAGACGCTATACTTTTCGTTAAAAGAAGTAGAAAGGAACTTTTAATTGTTCAAATTTACGTGGATGATATTATATTCAGAGCTATTAATGAGAATCTCTGTCAAGAGTTTGCCAAGTTAATGCAGGATGAGTTCGAAATGTTGATGATAGGAGAACTGAACTTCTTTCTGGAATTGCAAATCAAGCAAAAGAAAAATGATATAGTCATATCCCAGACAAAGTATCTCAAGGAATTACTAAAGAAATATGGATTAGAAAATACAAAAAAAGTAAAAACTCCTATGAGCTCAACCATTTCACTGGACACAAACTAGAAGGGCAAGGACGTGAATCTAACCAAGTATAGAGGAAAGATTGAGCCATTATTCTATCTTACAACAAGCAAATTAGATATTCAATTTAGTGTGAGAATGTGTGCAGGATATCAATCAACCCTAAGAAATCACACAAAGAAGCCGTCAAGAGAATCTTCAGATAACTTGTCAGAACACAAAATCTGGAAATCTGGTATCCGAAAAAGGAAACAGAATATCTAATGAGATACTCAGATGCAGATCATGGAGGTTACAAGACAGACAAAAAAAGTACCAGTAGTTAATGTCAATTCCTCATAGGATGTCTTGTCTCGTGGTCAAGCAAAAAGCAGAATACTGTGACAATATCTTCTACTAAATCAAAATACGTTGCCACAGCCAGCTGTTGTGCTCAGATTCTATGGCTAGAACAACTACTAAGATTTGGGAATCAACTTGAAAGAGATTCCA